TGTCCTGAATTCATTCGATTTTCTTCATGTGTGTTTCTGTATCTGCTTCGGTCGCATCAATATCGATCCTCTTATCATACTCTGTTAACACTTTTTGCACTCGACGCTATTTTAACTCTAAATCCAAGATGGTTTTGGATACAGTATCTCCATCTTATTCCAAATTTATGTATCTCAAAATTATGTTACTTCCGGGAAACGAGGGGTTCCTGAGGTCATTTGAAGTAACTTTCTCCTTAGCGAAAATGCAATCCGTGGCTTTGTTTTCGAGTTATTCACGAAAAACAGTGACCAATGAGAGGCGAGATCAGCTGGCGCGAGATGGCCGAGCCAATGAGGGTCCGCTTCGTCCGCTCGTTGCCTCGGCCGCCTTACGTCACGAGAGTCGACCTCGCCTCACATTGGTCAGTGTTTTTTGTTAATAACTCGTGAACGATGTCTCGGAGAAAATTTTTGTAAAGGAAAAAGTTGCTTCGAATGACCATAGGAATCCCTCATTTCCCGGAAGTACCATAATTTTGGGACACTCTGTATAATATAAAAATTGTACATGCGTCGAAGCACAGTTCCGCTCATTGGCTCGGCCGTTAGCCGAGCTCGCCTCTCATTGGTCAGTGTTTTTCGTTAATAACTCGTTAACGATTTCTCGGAGAAAATTTTTGTAAAGGAAAAAGTTGCTTCGAATGACCATAGGAATCCCTCATTTCCCGGAAGTAACATAATTTTGGGACACCCTGTATGGCTTATCAGCGCAAATTATGCATACGAAATCGAGTCTATGCAACAGTTATACTTTTAACAGTTCTTTAGAGATAAACAAATTTGATAATGTAAACATTGTTTTTAGAACGTCATGTAACAATCTTGAATGGTGCTTCAGAATAACCATTGCAAGGAGTTAATTCAAATGAGTTAACTCAACTGAGGAAATTAGAATTTCAATGGAATGTTCGTGATTGTTGGTCGAGCTAGACTCGAGTCCAGCAATATAAGATTGTGTCACAATGTATGACGACCGCGATGTCGTATTTCACGCGAAGAACGTCGCATGAATTTTATGAATTTAATTATTGAAAATTGTGACACGCACGATGTTTAGAGAATTTATAGCCTTCTCTTTGACGATATTTTTATCACATTTTATTCACAAGAGAGGATACGATGTATTTTATGCGATAAATACAATAAATATAATTATGAACGCTGATAGCGATCGCGTTAAAGAGTCGTAGCACGTTGAAATAGTTTGATGTTTGTAATGATTATGGAGACACTTCCGTTTGTCGCTGATGTTCATCTTTAGTGCCGTCTGCCTATAGGCAGCGTTAAATTAGAAATTATATATCTGTCATCATTCCTAATCCCTTCCACTATAATTTCATTCACAGCTATGTTTTGATAGCGGCGACTAGATTGAGTTTATTTAATCCCCCTCACGATTTTTATGATAATGTGTGCTTGAATTAAGACATTTATGTAATAATTTCTTTTGAAGGAGACCAGAAAATTTCGACAATTTTCAAGTAAAGGATGTGAAACTTTCACACAAAACAAGACATCGATATTTATTGCGAGTGTATATTAAGTGCAATTGCAGAATATCAACAATAGTAAAATTTAAATTTAATGCGGATTTTTCTTTTTTATTGCAGATTACGTAAGACAAGCGATTAACGACCATATTTACTGGATCATGTTTAAATTCTTAATATTTATTAGGATTTTAATTAATATTAATATATGTAATCAATATTAATATATTTAATTAATATTAACATATTTAATTGATATTAACATATTTAATTAATATTAATATATTTAATTAATATTAATATATTCAATTGATATTATTATATTCAATTAATATTAATAAATTATAATTTTTCATTCTCAATCTCGTTTACAAAATTTTCCTGACTTCCTAAGACCTTTTTGGCGAATGTTAATTACCAGTCAGCGGATTTTACTCATTCATAATAACAATGACGAGGTTATATACGAAACTACAAAGAAAACTAGAACAGTTTAACGGTATCGTTATAAACTTATTACAATCATCAAAACGTGAAACATATTTTCAATCTTCCTGGCAATCCTTACAATTATCTTGGACAATTTTTATTTTGCACGAAGATTGTTTATTAATCGCTCTAGTCTAACCTAACATGGTCTGTTTATCAATTTCTCAGTCTTACCGCGGTCTATTAATTAGGCCACGCTTTGAACTTTGCACATTAGCCCTTCCGGCCGTTTCCACGGAGTGTTTCCTCTAAATCCGTGGAACGATCGATCGCCGTCGAATTCTTCCTTTTTTCGTGGCGCCCCTTTATGGGTCGCACGATGAGGATCGGGAGCCGCGAGGAGTACGAGATTCGATTCTTTTTCGATCCTCAAAGAGGCTCCCCCGTGAAAGGACGTGGCGAAACTCCGATTAATAATCTGTAAGGGGCTTGGTAGCCAGGTCGATTGAAAATCGATGTTACCGTCCACGGCGGAGCCTCGCTTTATCGCGGCGTTCTTCGCTCGCGCGGCCATAAAACGAATTAACGTTTAATTCAATCAACGGCGACGTCACGCCCCCGGCGTGTATAATTTAGCGGCGGTCCAATCAGCGATCTTGGACGTGCCTCGAGTGTTAGGCTCTTGACGAGTGTGTGGCTGCGATGCGAGGCAGACGTTCGGGTTTAAATATTATTAATATTATTCAATTAATATTGTTTAATTAATATTATTATTATTTAAATATTTTCTGAACATAATTTACGTTCATTTATTACCGTAAGCGTGTACTTACAGGTGAAATTTATAAATTGTACAGAAACTAGGAAAGAGGTTCTGTTTGCGATTTTGATTTCATGCGTTTATGACAGAAATTAATGAGTGAAACTGAGAACAGTGAAAAGATTAAAAAGAAGTAAGAATTTTGATGTACTAATTTCAACTCGTTAAAATGATTAAAGAACTTGTTAAAATTATGAAAGTATTGGTTAAAATTATTAAAGAACATATTAATATTGTTAAAGAACTTGTTAAAATTATGAAAGTATTGGTTAAAATTATTCAAGAACATATTAAAATCGTTAAAGAACTTGTTAAAATGATTAAAGAACTTGTTGAAGCTATTAATAAACTTATTAAAATTATTATAGAATTTATTTGGATTATTAATGAACTTATTCAAATTATTTATTATTATTAAAGAAATTGTACAAAATAAAAAAGAAGGAAAGAAAATTATACTTGGCTTATTTGTGTTGCAATCGAGGCAGAAAGTTTTTATTTTTCACAAAGATCCGCAGTCTAATATTCAAGTTTACTAAAAATACCTATAGAATTGTTACAGAGATTCTGACTTGTACGATTTTAATTTAAATGTTTGCCAGCATTATTTAGTAACACATCTTATACAGTGTGAACCCCTTCGGTCAAACTTTTAATAAAATATACGTATTTATTTTTAATTTCGCTAGGCTATGAAGTTCCAATAAAACAGTAATTGGTAAAACTACACACTCTCTCTCTCTCTCTCTCTCTCTCTCTCTCTCTCTCTCTCTCTCTGCAAGGAGAACGAAATTAGATGGATTAATGAAGTCATGGTTAGAAACTGAATTATATGAAATCATCCCCTTCTTGTTCTCTACACCTTCAAAACATAAATAATAAAATAATAAAAAATTAATAAAAATAAATAAAATGAATAAAATAAATAATAATAAATAAAATATATTATAATTAATAAATAAAATTAATAAAATTAATAAAAAATAATAAAAAATAATAAAAAAATAATAAAAATAAATTTTTAATATTTGATGGTTACGAATAAAATTAACAATTAAATAAAATCACAATTGTTACAAGAACTCTCAGAAGATAATAAAATTATAGAAATTGACAAGGTTACAGTTTAAACCCCAGTATAAAAAACATCCCCATCATTTCTGCATAGAGAACGAATTTTTTTCCAAAATGATCGTAATTGAAACAATAATTAATAAACCATCTCCTGAAACACTAAAAACACGTAGATCATCGCGATCGCTCTAAGAAGATACTCTTAAAAAATCATCCCCTTCTGCTTGTCCTCTTCGCAGCCAACAAATGTTCGCATCTAGCATCATGAATCCACAAAAATGCACTAAAATAATGATACAGTTCCGCTCGGCGGTTTCACTTTTCAAAAATCGTCGAGAATTTTACGCGTTCGATCGCAGTACCATAAAATCCCACTGAAATAACAATTTATAGAACGCTCTCAAAGTCCATCGAAACTCCATCAGCCCTGTCCTTTTAGAGGCCACGAAATTTTATTTTCATCGTCGCCGAATTACCCCCGATAAAATAATAAAACAGCCCTGGAAATCACTGAACTGACCCTGGTGTCCCGGCATTTTAATGGCGATGCGTCGTGATCGGAATCCCAGCCGGATCTATTCCGGTGAAGGATCGAGAGAAAGAGAGAAAGAGTGAAAGAGAGAAAGAGTGAAAGAGAGAAAGAGAGAGAGAGAAAGAGAGAAAGAGAGAAAGAGAGAAAGAGAGAAAGAGAGAACTCTGCTGGCGTTCGATCGTTCCTTAACACGGCGTCGAAACGGTGCCTTTGCTGTTTCGAAGCAGTGAATGGAGAGAAGAGGGTTGCCAGTGGAGTCTATTCGACATCGCACTCGAGTTCTGCCCGTCGATCTTTTTATAGCGGCATGAATCCGTGATTTACGCCCGGCCGCGCCGTGACGGGCTCGAATATTTCCGGGGACGGAAAATATTTTCGTCGGACTCGGTCGAAGTGATACACCGGCTCTCTCTCTCTCTTCCTCTCTTTCTCTCTTTCAGAAAGAAGTCTATCATTTTGTCTTTCTTTCTCTGTCTCTCTCCGTACGGCTTGAAGGCTCAACCTCGATTCCCAGCATTTGCAGACTCACTCTCTTTCTCTATTTATCTCTATCTCATCCAGGTGAAACGCTGTTCTTTTTTATCCTCTTCTATTTTTTTCAACGATGTTACAGAGCTGCTGTCGAACAAGACGGGTCACATGATCGGCGTGTTCGAGAAGCTGGGCATGTTTTACAGCGACTGTTTGGAATTCAAGGAGAAACCCGTCAATTTTACACCGGGTAAGTCGATGCTCTTCGTTTTGTTGCTCTTCTTGCTCTCTCTCTCTTTTTCTTTCTCTTTCTCTCTTTCGCTCTCACTTTTTTAGTCTTTTCTTTCTCTCTTTCGCTCTTGTTTTTTTAGTCTTTTCTTTCTCTCATTTTTTCCTTTACTCTCTCTCTCTCTCTTTCCCTTTCTTTCTTTCTCTTTCTCTTTCGCTCTTCTTAGTTTCTTCACTCTCTCTCTCTCTTTCTCTTTCTTTTTCACTTACTGTCTCATTCCATTCCTCTTTTTTCTCTTACTGTCTCTTCCTCTCGCTTTCTCTCTCTCTTTCTATTTCGCTCTTTTAATCTCTTCCCTTACTGTCTTACCCACCCCTCTTTTTTCTGTTACTGTTTCTTTCTTTCTTTCTCTCTCTCTCTCTTTTGCTCTTTTCAATCTTTCTCTCACTCTCTCTCTTTTGCTCTTTTTAATCTTTCTCTCACTCTCTCTCTTTTGCTCTTTTTAATCTTTCTCTCACTCTCTCTCTTTTGCTCTTTTTAATCTTTCTCTCACTCTCTCTCTTTTGCTCTTTTTAATCTTTCTCTCACTCTCTCTCTTTTGCTCTTTTTAATCTTTCTCTCACTCTCTCTCTTTTGCTCTTTTTGATCTTCATCTTTCTCTCTCTCGTTTTTCCTTCTTCCTTCTTCCTCTCTCTTTTCTTCTCCCTTACTCTCCTTCTCTCTCTCTCCCTCCCTCTATCTTTTTTCTCCAACTCTCCATCCAGCGAGAGCTCTCTTTTTACCCTCTCTCTGTCTCTGTCACTTTTTCTCTGGTGGGTCACCACATGTTGCTATTTAGATTTATGTCGTTATTATTACGCGTAGCAAAAAATGTGCCGGATGAAATGAAATTGTTTCGAGAGATGCACATTCCGGTGGTACTAGTTTTCTTGTAGGTGAACCTGCAGAGGACATACGAAGGTCGTTAACGTTTTCTTTTTTTAAATGCAGTCATATAGTTTTTACTGCATCATATTCATATTCAAAAATATCATTAGTTCGAAGGATATGTTAATTTTCGTGGTGTTATCGATGCAGAAAGTGTCGTGTAATGCAAATAGTAAATAGTGTGATATTGAGATCATAATATTGTCGAGAGTGTCTTGATTTTCTAACAATATTCAAATTAACGTATCTCCTAAATTAACTGTTACGATATTACGTTCTTTTTATTTTGCATCGTTTCCTTGCTGTGGGCAATTTTAGGCGAACCTAATCCAGACCTATTGTAAACCAGAATATATCTAATTTTATCGTTCCGATGATTTCAATTGGACGCTATTTTTTGCAATCTCTCTCTCTCTCTCTCTCTCTCTCTCTGTTTTTCTCTTATTTATTTCGATACTCCTTCTTCTTTCTTTAATTAATCAGTTTTTATTAATCTTTCTCTATCTTTCGTTTTCTCTCATTTCTCTCTCTCTCTCTCTCTCTCTCTCACTCACTCTCTATCTCTATCTCTATTTCTCGTCTCGTGGAAAACCGAGACAGCCACGCGAAAACGATACCAGGGATCGCGTGACAGACAAGCGAACAGTTGTCGCTGGATATTGCGCGGTGACGTCGACGTCGACGTTAACGACGACCCGCACCCCCGGCGGTCCATTGTGGATGCTTGATCCGCGACTGAAACGGGCCAAGCTGTTGTCCTTGAAATGATCTTCTGACCTGCCGCGATTCAAAGGCATTCGGTGGAAAAATTATTCGTTCACCTTTTCTAACGAAATATCTTTTTTATAATCGAGTCAGACGATGAAAATTGTGGGGGGGGGGGGAGGGATGTTACAACTATTAGCTTACTAGACAATGGCTAAAGAATTGTTTTCAAAAATTGTTTGAGACGATAAAAGAAATTTTTAAAATGACATTCAAAACATCTTAACATTTATACGAATACATTTTTAGTATGAAAAGTTACGAATGTAAAATTACCGAATACATTTTGCTTTCACTAAAATTACGATATAAACAGCAACTTGTAACTATTGGTTTGGCAGGAAAGTAATTTCGGTATTTCAATGTGCAATAAAACTCAATTTTTTCAATACAAGAAATTAACTTTAATCAGTGAAATATTTTTTATTCTGTTCGATGACCTTTTGCCATCCTTCTGGTAACTTCATGATTCCGCGCTCATAAAACTTCTGGTCCTTATTAGTAAAAAACTCAATCAAGCGCGATTCGAGGCTATCGTTATTATTGAAATTTTTACCATTTAAGAGGTTTTGTAAACTTCGAAATAAATGATAATCCGATGGTACAAGGTCGGGACTATACGGAGAATGCGATATCACTTCCCAATCAAGCTCCAATAATTTTGTACGTGTCGCTAAAGATGTCCGAGGCTTCGCATTGTCGTGGTGGAACACGATTCCTTTGCAATATGCCAATTCTAGCCTTTTCACTTTGATTGCTACCTCCAATTTCATAAGTTGTTGGCAGTGAACATCTGAGTTGATCGTTTGATTGCTTGGAACCAGCTCAAAATAGACATCACCTTTATAGTCCCACCAAATTGACTGCATGATCTTTTTCCGATGCAATTCAGTTTTCGATATGGTTTGTGCTGGTTCATCACGCTTGCACCATGACCTTTGTCGATTAATGTTACTGTAAACGATCCATTTTTCATCACCAGTGATAATTCGTTTCAAAAAAGGGTCGATTGCATCACGTTTAAAATGCGTGTCGCAAATACCGATTCGTTGTGTTAAGCGAATTTCTTTCAATCTATGCGGAATCCAAACATCGAGTTTCTTAACAAGTCAAAGATATCTTATGTGATATTCAATTGTTGTGTGCGATGCATTTAACCTTTTTGCAATCTCTCGTACAGTTATACGACGATTTCATTCAATTATGTCTTTGATTTTGCCATCGTCAACTTCAGAAGATCGACCAAAACGTTGGTCATCTTTAAGTGAAAAATCTTCGGAACGAAATTGTTTGAACCAATTCTGACACGTGCGTTCTGTTAAGCAATCGACGCCATAAACTTCGCGTATCTCTTTGCGAGTCTCGGCCGCTTTCTTGCCTTTATGGAAATAAAAAAGTAAAATGTGTCGAGAATGTTCATTTTTGCACTCCGTATTAACCCTTTGCACTCGAGTGGTGACTCTGAGGCACCACTGAAATTTGTTGTATCACGTTCTAAGATAATTATTACATTAACAAAGTTTAGATTTTAAAAAATTGTTAAAAGTGTAAACGTTCTGTAAGTCGTAAGACTTAATTTCACATGCATAAAATGCACTTTGTCATATAAAATGAAAATACTATAAATCAAAAAAATTATTTTAGATTTACAGTTCAAATAGCTTCGAGTGCAAAGGGTTAAAATTGACAGCAAACTATCAGCTGTAAACAAAACTACACGGAATTCGTTTCTATAGTAATATAAACGTGTCAACTATCAAAGCTGAAGAGAAAAAATTTAAATTTAACCTTAACAAAATAATGATAATGCAAACATAACGCTATGTATTTATGCAAACCGAAATTACTTTCTTGCCAACCTAATAGTTTTTACTCCTGACGCGTAAACTCGTCGTAACACAAAATACAATAAATTATCCCTAATTGACCCTCAGTTGGAAACGAAAATGAACAATTTGGGAAGAGAAGGTCGTTTTTATAGTTCTTGACAATCGGTAACTATAAAAACGAGCCGTAAGGCTCGAATAATCGTATCTCTTCTTCCCAAATTGTCCATTTTTGTGTAGAAGCTGAGGGTCAACTATGGAGAATTTACTATAGTGTCATTCTCGCTCTTTCTCTCTCTCTCTCTCTCTCTCTCTCTCTCTCTTTCTCTCCCTCCCTCCCTCTCTCACAGACACACACGCACACTATCTCTCGAAACCTAAACTACGTTTAAAGTCTACAAAGTACTTCACGGATGCTACATAATTATTTATTTAAAGCAGTTGGTTTTTCGCTGTTGATGAGAAACGATCACGAAACAAAACTCAGAAGCGGGGGAGCCGCGGCAGTTCCGCATAGTAACATAAACGATCCTTTGTAACAAGGTTCATTTTCCCGTACACGCCGCGTGCTAATACGCATGAGCGACGGCCAGTTTGCAACTATCACGGGTGCCGAATTTCATTCGGCCGCATTTAAATACGGACACGGGGAAAAGTTTAATCAGTCCGAGCGATTCCGCCGGACCCGGATTAAACGAACTTTGTTCGGCAACACAATGCCGGAAGAGAAAGCCCGCCAATGAAAGTTTCGACGTAGCACGCGACCTGCCGACGATTACGTCCGCGCGTCTATCTTTGTGTCGGTTTCGGGCACGCCGATATTTATTCAATCGAATTCTCATTCGGTTCTCCCTGTTGCGTCGCTCGACCGGTCTATCGGTGCTATTTTTTTTATTCTATCGCGGAACTGGAGAAGCGCGAATTACTGTGGGAGTGTCGAACACGGGGAGAAAATGCTTGTAATCTGATTTTCGCGACGGCAGGGTGTCGAAACGTTAAATAATGGTTCGACGATACAGAATACAATAATAGAAAACGTATTCGAGCGCCTTTTATGACGCAATAACTTTTTTCCAAACTGGAATATATGATTTGTATTTTTTTTTTAATATTAAAGGAACTAGTGTAGCGACCAGAAAGTTTCTTTTCGAGTTTTTTTCATTTTGCTGTTAGTTGGAATAAAATTTTCGATAATAAAAATGAAAAATTCGATTTTTATCTTTTTTATCTGAACTTGTGGAACAAGAATTTCAAGAATGCGCTTTTCGGGTCACTACGGTTTATATGCGCACCGAAAATTCCATCGAAATCGAATAACATTCATCTATATTTCATTTTTTTATTATTAGCAGACCGTGGATGTTATGTAATTACGAATATAAATATGCAATTACGTGGATGTTATGCACATACGAAATTTTTTCATTAAAATTCAATTATATAATTATTTGTAATACAAATATTAATATTTGTAATACAGCCTATCAATACAAAAATTAAAAC